TCGGCCCAACGACATCTCGGCCCATTGACACCTCGGCCCCGACGGGTCGGCCCAAGATTTGAGACACCTCGGCTCACGTAAAAGACACTTCGGCACAAACAAAAATGTATTATTTTAAACATATTTATTTGATATTTTCTTAAGTATTTTATTATTATAGGGACTATATGCGACGGATTATATTATTATATATATCCATGAAATAAAAAAGAAAATAATTGAATAATCTTCCGAGAGTAAGTTGACGGTAATTAAAAAAAAAATGTCTATCACATTGTGCTAATCGTTAAACAAACAAGAAGACGCAGCGCATCCTTCGAAGTCTCAAGCGTGTGTCATATGGGGTGGTGACAATGAGGAGTTAATTACGAGCAGGCTAATTAATCCAATTGTTGGGTACAAACCACATATCTTCCTTGGTTGGTTTAGGGAAATATATACATTATGCTCTAATATTACGCAAAGATCTATCAGGTTAACGTAACTTCTATATCTGTGTAAGGTTAAGTTGAGTTTATAAATTAAAAAAAAAAAAAGAATCAACTAGAAACTCTTGTTGCTAAAGCAACAAAGAAGGTCTTCCGTTCTCCTCTATTGATCTGCATGAATGAACTTTTATATATGTTAAAAAAGGCACATGATTTTTTTAATTGATTTCGGGAAAACGAACGACAGGAGGTGTAACTTACCAAGATTATTGATGTAAGTTTAAACTATTAAAGTCTCAATAACATTTACAAAAATCAGTTTTATTTTTTTAAATGTTTGACTAAGAAGATTCTATAAAGAAATGTTTCAATATTTGATTTATTCCATCACTTCGTGTGACAACCGGAAGTGACGGCGGAAAATGTTAACCAAAATGGATTTGCCTACTCATCAAGATCTACCAATCCTATAAGTTTGGTGTCTTAATTTCTTACCGTTTACGAGATGTAGCTATGATAACTTCTCATTTTGAGGACAGGAAATCAGGCAACCGGAAGTGAATATTTTAAAAAATATATTTGAAGTTTCTGTAGACATTTGCAGTCTGAATAACATATTCAAAAATATTTTATCTAAAAAAGTATTTATGGGAAAGAAATGTACTCAAATTACGTAGTTTTTCTCTTATATCCGGAAGTTTACGGTTTTTTTTACCGGTGGTACTGATACATCTTGAAACTACAAATAAGATGCTATAATGTGATGCAAAAAAAGTTTCAGAAGAGACAAGTTGTATTTTCACTTTGTTTGATCACTTCCTGTGACGACTGGAAGTGACGGCGGACAATCTTATCCCCGGTGGTTCTGCGTACTCATCAAGATCTAACAATTTTACAGGTTTTGTTTGTTAATCTCTTTCCGTTTACGAGATCTAGCCATGATAGCTTCTCATGTTGAGGACAGAAATTCACGCGATTGGAAGTCAATTTTGCAAAGATAACTGAAAGTATACAATCGAGGATGCTTGCATATAAATATGATTAATTCTTGTTTTGCTGTGCTTGAGAAGGTATTGCACATGTGAAACCTTTATCTTCCATTTTGGCCTGCCTTCTCTCAGGGGTAAAGCTTGTAAGAAATTTTAATCTATACTACCAGAGAATATCAAAGTCATCTTTGATGGTACAGAGGTTCTTTAGAAGAATTTTAAAATATGTATATGTCATTCATTTTTCAAGAAATTGTTGCAATATCAAGAAGATGAAACTAAAAAGTTTACATTTACAGCAACAGACAATCGATAAAAGCTCACTTGAGCTTTCTGCTGTGGTAAACTAAAAATGTAGTTATGGGAAAAGTGATGCCCAAAATCTAAAATGAAATGTAACTAAAAATAAATGCACAATTTAAATGAAATATTAAGAGTAAAATGTATGTAAACTAGTTCGCCTGTTAGTACTTGAATTGTGCATTTTCTAAAGTTTCAGTCAGAACATCAAATGAGAAGAGATATACAAATTTTGCATTCTTTTATTTCAGTAATGTCATTTCAATTTGACATTGAGCTATTCCAGGTAAAAAATGTAATATGGAAAGTTTAAAAGGCACTTTTAATTTTACCTAACCACTTGTATTGTTAATTGTTTTTCCCCCCAATCAGCATTACATTGAATTGGAAATTCTTTTGATATAGCACCATTCATCTAAATTCAAAATAAAAAAATTGCGTTTTTTCTGCTACAGGTTGAATAGATAGCGCTCGTCAAAGTTAATGATACTCACTACAAAAATTGTACGATGTGATGTGTTTGAGATGGAACATTGTATGCTGTCTGTAAATTTCAAATGAAAGTAATTTGTATACTTTACTACCTAAAAAAATGTATTAAGTGCCTTCTAGCCCCCTCCCCCACAACCAACTACATTTTTTCTGGAATAGCTGGAACAATAATTATGTGTAAAAACAACAAAATAAGAACTGATAACATTCGTTCAAAAATCCTGTGAAAGGACTTTACCAAAAATGTTCACAATATAATAAAAAAAAAAGTTTCATAATGTGGTCAGGATATAGGCAAGTAATGATTTTTTCACACACATTAATAATGTTGCAAAAATAGGTTGCATTTGTGAAATAATAAGAATAAAATGTTAAACAGTATCGATGAGCACATTATACAATGTGGTTACCAGTATTTTTTGGAACATCTTATCTCAAAGATGGATGTGTGTTGTATTTGACACAGTTTAAAAGAAATACAAGTCCATAGGACATAAATGTTGCATACAGGTTTCATTAAGGCTAAAAAAAAATTAATAGTTTCTCAGGCCCAAAAATTAAATGCATCAGGTAGGTTTTCTTTTAAGTTGTAATATGTATTCAACTTGAAATTATGTTATTCCAAATATTTCTTTGAATATTTATTCATAAAATATTGTGAATTTTGAAGATATATATCGTTTTCTAATAAATTATCTATCATTTAAGATAGAATTAATGAGGTGGGGAATAACTCAATGTTTTTTTTAAACCTGGAAAACTATAAAAGAAAAAAAAGAAAAAGATCATTGCGGTTGTTTTTGAAATGATATGGTGGTAGCCTTAGAAGCTATTGATTAATTTTTGTTGCACTAATAATGAGTAAATAAAGTGTTTTTGCTTGTAAAACTGAACTTGTGACAAATTTAAGAAAAGCATGTTTATGACCTAGAGAAGTCAATTGGTCAAACAATATCTGTGCACTTGAAATATTTTACCCCTACACATTGGGAAATAGGGTTTCAAAATAATAGATCAATTTCTTCTGTTAAATTGTTTCGAATGCATAGACCAAACAATATGACCTCTAATCATATTTATAAAAAGTGAGGTATAAAAAAAATGCTTTCAAATTTGCCATAAAAACTTGAAAACTTGAAACCTGTTTACCAAGGTTACTTGATAATAAAAATCAATAAAAACATGTGCACTTCTGCAAGAAAAAGGTCAGCAATAAAGAAGTGGTGCGACCATGAGTGACATTGCTCACCTGTTAGTAATACATGTCACGGCCAAGAAGAAAGCAAAATGAAATCCAGTGTGGCTAAAACGTCCAAACATACAACTTAAGGGGGTGGGGGGTTATATGAATTAACTTGAATCTACACTAAATGACAATGGTTTAATATAGATGTTAATGTGTTGATGTGCTATGGGTTTTCTAAATAAAAGTTTGAAGCCTAGGAATTAAAATTTGAAAACATGTTGACAGAATTATGTGTGGATGTTTTCATAAAAAGATCACTAATCATGATTATGTTGTTGAGAAAACTTATAAAAAAAATCCTTTATTGTTATATGTAAAGCCTTGACTCAGCATTGTTTCCCCATTCTCCATCATTTGGTAATGTTGTAAACAAATTTGAATCTACAATACTTGGGCCAAAATAAAATTATACTTTGTTTGGTATTGAATATCTCAATAGATTCAACATTGAACTTGAGAGGCTAAGTCCCTTATGTTGAAATAAAAAAGATTGTTCAGATCCCAGTTAGAAAATTGCAAGGATAAGAAATGAAAAATATCTGACAGTATGACAACTCACAAGCTAGTCTTTGAAATGTAATGTTAAACAAGAGCAATGCTATGAAATACACTGATAAAATTGTTTAAAAAATGATTTTTTAAATAAAATAGAAGTTTGACGTTTAAGGTGAATTCTAATAAATGTTCAGATCTAACATCTGAATTAGATTGATATATGAGTACCATTCTGTGTAGTGCTATATATAATTTTTCAAAACAAAACAAAACATATCAATAAATAAAAGAAAGAAAATTATTGAAAATCTTTACTGTTCACCAAGATTTTTTAATCATTTAGCTTCAATTAAAAAAAAAAAAAAAAAACCTCCCTCCCTCATGGGTCTGAAACCCCCCAGGTGGCAATTCTAAACAAACATTTCTTTAAGGATGGCGTTGTGTATGTTTTGATATGTATATTTCCAATGGCATGTTTTTGAAGCTGTTTCAGAAGGAAATATTTGTTTAATATATATTCGTTTATTAAATTTGATTGTCCACTGTTTAATTACCTTAACCCTTGGGGTCATGATTTATACAAATATAATAACACAACTTTTTTTTTTTTTTGTAAATATGAGCAATTTTGGCTTTGTTATTCTTGAGAGATTTTCAATTTTTTCCTATAAATATTTGTACTAAAAATATGATTTTCATTTGAAAAGCACCCTTTCATGAGGGGACATTTAATGATTTGAACTAATTAAATGACTACCTGAGGATGCATACATATAAGATGTCAAAGATCATGGATTTGTTGTCTTTAAGAAGATTTTTTAAAGTTTTTTCTTATATATTCGTATGTTAAACTTTGATCATATCTGGTGGCCTCAGGCTATATCTGGGGGTCATAATTTAAAAATCAAATTTTGTAATGTGCAATACTTGAAGATGTTTCCAGATTAGTTTTATATTTTCCCAACTCTGTGGTTCTTGATGAGGAGGTTTACAAACATGCCACAAAATTTTAATTATGTCTTCATTATTTCCCTTTATAAGAGGTCATACATGGCCTTTCATATGAAGATAGTAGTTGAGTCTTCTGTGGTCAAGGATGCTTTGTGTTTAGTTTTATTGAAATTGGTCCAGTGGTTCTTGAAAAGAAGTTAAAAATATGAAATGTTTACAGACAGACGGACAGCTAGACAGACGACCAAATTATGATTAGAAAAGCTTATTTGAGCTTTGAATTATAGCTGAAATGAAATGGGCGTTGTTCAAATTGTTCAAAAGAAGTACTTTTCTTGAAAAGTTTAATCTCTCTTAGGTTTCTTTGCTGGGTTGATCTTCTCTCTGGAAAAATGAAGAATTATGAATGAAAATTAAAGTTGCATGAAAGTACTTTAAAAATATTGTGAAGATCTATTTCTTCAAGAGTTTCATTAAAAATGGATTAATAGTAAAAATGTTTTGATATACTTTATATTGATAGTATTTGCAATGTTGTAATATATAAATTTTTGACCTCATTGATAATACCGAAGAAATTTTTTTCCAAATAATTATATTTGTTGAAGAGGTACAATCTGTAATACTAGATATATTAAAAGTAAAAAGTTGAAATTTTGCATTATTGATAATGTTTGCAATTATTTTAATGAGAGATTTTGAGATCATGATTATATAATTATTTTAATGAGAGTTTTTGAGATCATGATTATATATATAGTTATATAAATAACTTTACAGTTCAACAATGGTAAATCCATGAGCGCTTCCTTTGATATGTATGTCTTGTTCGAACCCTCTGGGAAATATTCTTTCCAGTTCCGTTGTTTTTACTTTATAAGTTTTTGTGTCAATGATGAGATAGCTGAAGTCCCTAGATGAAAAAAAAGATGATCTTTGAGTCACTATGGCTAGTTTAAGAATTTTTTTTTCAAATTTCTTTATTTAAGGGTCCTCCACACCATGTGACCTGTGACGTATATAGAGAAAAAATACTTTTACTTCCGATTTTATTGAGAAAATACATGAACAAATTGTCCTTCCACTGTTTGTAAACAATAAACACATGGCATGATGATCACGGAGTGACCGATGAAAAGGATTGCGGTATTTTTTTTTTTCAATAAAAGAACAATAGACGTCTTGGATTATTATTATAAAGATAATAATTCCTAGACAACAGGTACCGATGTGTATGACGAGAAAAGTATAGGTTATTTACACTTTCAGGCTAATCAACCGAGTCTGTTTTTGATACTGTGTAGTTGAACATGTTGAAATTTCGGCACACTAATTTGTACGTTTCAATAATACATTATCTCATTGTGTGTTTATAAATATTGATAAAATAGTGTGCGTTTATAGTTTTTCTCTTTTATTTTTGTCCGGTTCAGTGGCTAGTATATTACTAAATTATAATAGTATGGTGACGTAAGCGGAGACTTGCCAAAGTTTTTGAGTCCCGAGCAACAGGAAAGATAACTCCAAAAAGGAACTTTGATACCAGAGATTTTGAAAATGTTTTTTCTACATCAGTGCATTTAATTTTAATTCAATTTTTTTATGTAATCTAATTCATTAATGTTTCTTCTCTTCAAAAGGAGTCCTTGTTGATTTTTCTCGTGATGTATTTCAAAGAAAAAGAGTTTTATGTACTTCTTATAAATAAAATAAATTTCTGTAAAAAATGTGTTGATCGATAAAATTGAGTTTTTATGGTTATTCTGTGAGCTTAAAAATATACGAAAGGGTAAGGCAAATTTTTTTTGCTAGGTATGAAAACGCCTCGGGAAAAATTTCTTGAAACTTGTGAAATAATTATTTTAAAAAATCAGTATAAATTATATCTTAATCCCTGGACAGTTTTTAAAGGTTGATATGTTTGTTAAAAGTAATGCTCAATAATATGCGAACATAAGCTGTGGGTGTGTGGAGGACCCTAAACTATAACAAATTAAGTTATTGTGGCCTTATTGTAAGCTCAGGTGTCCAATATCCACAAAGCTGCATTAATTTCTATTCGTAACCCAATGCCAAAACAAGACACGCTTGCAAAGAATTAAGCAAAACAAACTAGTTGTATGTACAACTATTAATTAGTTCTTGTAAAATGCATTTGTAAACTGGTTAGGGGAACCAGGTTAGTGTTATTATAGAAATATGTAACAGAAATGAGAGCAGAGTATCTTATGGAAATCGACAAAAACATCATTTTGATTTCAAAAATATGCATTTCATTTAAACAATTTAAAATTAGTAAGCTGCACCTATGACTTTAGCATAATATCAGTCTCATGCTGCATTGGTAAGTAATATGATGACCATGTGATCGAGGTAATTTGGGATCCTGTGACTAATATAATGATTGTTACTCAGAAAGACAAATAATCGCAATTTCAACTTTCAAAGATAGTTATGAGAAATTAAAGCTAATGTGCTTTCATAAAGAGCCTACATATACGCATGTTTATTCAAAACCAGAGTTAAACTGATGACAAAATATTAGAAGAAGCAAAATTTGTGGAATGTTTTTACTGAATGTTGGTCATTAAGCTTTGATTTGAAAAAACATTAAGCGGTGATTTGAACAAACTTGAATCTACACCAGCTGAGGATGCTTCTATGTAAATATGATGAATAATGACTATGCTATTCTAGACAAGATTTTAAAAAAACTTTTCCTATATTTCCTATATGAAACTTTGGTCGGCCATTTTGGGACCTTAATTGCCAATTATCTTCATTTGATCAAACTTGAATTTCCTTCACCCAATGATACTTTGTGGCAATTTTGGTTGAAATTGGCCTAGTGATTCTTGAGAAAAAGTCGAAAATGTGAAAAGTTTACAGACGGACAGACAGACAGATGGACACTGGACAAAATGTGATCAGAAAACCTCACTTGAGCCTTCGGCTCAGGTGACCTAAAAATAATAGGATATGTGATCACAAAATGTCAAGTAATCTTTCAGCTGTAGTCAGTGAAGAAGAATAAAATTTAATGACTTACTCTCTAAAATCTACCCCTTCGACTTTTCCTTCGACTATGGTGTTCTCTTCGGATTCCTATGATAGAAAAATTGTTGTAATGATTTTTAATTAAAGCATTAAAGTGGAAAGTTCATGCAACTTAATCCTTTGCTTGAAAAGACTCACTTGAATGTATTTTTTTTCTTATAGATCTGCAAGTTTTACATTATTTTTTCTATTTGTAAAATAGACAGGAGCATGCATTTTCACTACAGTCAAACCTGATTTAAGAGATGACTTGTTTGAGAACAAGAAATTGGCTACACATGTGGCCACTTTTCAAGGTTTCAAAAGAATGAATAAACCAGAAGTGTGTGTTAAGTCTTTAGCTCAACTGGTATGTTATTAAAATAAAGGAAGAAAAAAATTATTAATTAAGCTCTTTCAAATGACATCAAGAGCAATGACTCTGTGACCTTGACCGATATACTAAAAATATTTTTTTTCTGTGAATTTAACTTTCACCTTTTCTTATGAACCATAAAAGATAGAGACTTTAAATTTGGTATGCATATGCCACTGATTAAGTCGTTTCATACAACACTACGGTCAATGACCTTGTGACCTTGACAGTGTCCTATATGCTAAAAATATCTGTTTTGAATCTTCAGCATAACTTTTGAACAATGAGAGATAGAGACTTCATATTTGGTATGCATATTTTACTAATCAAGTTCTTTTGAATGACATCAAGATCTGTGATCTTGTGCCCTTGACTATGGCCCATATGCTAAAAGTGTTTTTTTTTTTTTAAATTGTGTTGAAGATGGGTGAATAGTGTTTTCCAAACACATCTTGTTCAAGATTGCACTAATTTGAGTGGTTTTGGTTCCATCCTGCAGGCGACAGGGATCATGAAATTAACAATTTTTGTTTTACATGCATGCTTTATGCCAAATTTGGTTGAAATTGGTTTACTGGCTTCAGAAAAGAAGCTCAAAATGTTCAAACATTACTGTACGCTGACGGATGAAAATGGATAGGAATAGGTCACCTGAGTTTACTCAGGTGATGTAACTTTACTCAGGTGACCTAAAAATGTAAATGTTAAGAGAACAAGAATTTCAGTTCATACCTTTATGGAAGTAAGCAGGGTTGAATTTAGTGAAATTATATCTTTAAATGTTGCAACTTCTACGTTGCAGACAGTCACGACTTCATCATTCTGCGGCAGACACTTGTCGGCATGGTCTCCCCACAATTTACAAACTACTCGGGAAGTACCTTCCATCGACTCTATTGTTATCTCCTTCCTCTTACCATTGGGCGATTCTATGATCTGTGATGACTTGAACAAATACTTTGTATATTAGAAATATGTTATACAATTTAATTGTAAAAATATAAAATGTACGTGATCTTTGTACATTATTACTGTACATTATAATCATTATGATCATGTTTTCTAAAAAGAATGTTCACAAGTATCTATAACAAGAGGCCCATGGGCCACATCGCTCACCTGAGAAGCTTTGACCATTCTGTTCTTTACCGGATTTCCCTCTTGTTATACATAATGCATCCCCACCCTACCCCACTGATGATAATTTAGACATTTTGAAATTTATACTACCCAATGATCCTTCCATGGGCACATATGTTTGAGCTTTTTTTGCCCAGTGGTTCCTGAGAAGAAGATTTTCAAAGATCTTTCTTATATATTTCTACGTAAAACTTTGATTCCCTACAATGGCCCCGCCCTTCCCCCAGGGGTCATGATTCCTACAATTTAGAATTTACACTACCCCAGAATGCTTCCACATAAGTTTCACTTTTTCTGGCCCAGTGGTTCTTGAGAAGAAGATTTTCAAAGATTTTTCCTTTATATTTCAATATAAAACTTTGATTCCCCATTGTGGCCCCGCCCTTCCCCTGGGGGTCATTATTTCAACAATTTAGAATCAACATTATACCAGGATGCTTCCACATAAGTTTCAGCTTTCCTGGCCCAGCAGTTCTTGAGAAGAAGATTTTTAAAGATTTTTCCAATATATTTCCATGTAAAATTTTGATACCCAATTGTGGCCCTGCCCTTCCCCCGGGGGTCATGATGTGAACAATTAGGAATGTAAACTATACCAGGATGCTTCCACATAAGTTTCAGCTTTTCTGGCCCAGTGGTTCTAGAGAAGAAGATTTTCAAAGATTTTTCCTATATATTTCTATATAAAACTGATTCCCCATTGTGGGCCCGCCCTTCCCATGGGGGTCATGATGTGAATAATTTAGAATCTATAATATACCAGGATGCTTCCACATAAGTTTCAGCTTTTCTGGGCCAGTGTTTCTTGAGAAGATGATTTTTTAATGACCCAACCCTATTTTTGTCTTTCCTTGATTTTCTCCCCTTGCGAGGGGATATGTCCCTTCATTTTAACAATTTAAATTGCCCTTCACCCAAGGATGCTTTGTACCAAGTTTGGTCAAAATTGGCCCAGTGGTTCTTGAGGAGAAGTAAATGTGACAAGAGGCCCAGGGACCACAGTGCTCACCTGAGCACATTGGCTACGAAAAAGCACATATCAGATCAGAAATGAAAGTTTACTGGGGGGGGGGGATTGAATTTTAACCCCCCAGGGGTTCATGATTTGAACAAACTTGAATCTACACTACCTGAAGATGATTCCATATTAATATCACCAATCATAGGTTTGAAGTACTTGTAAAGATGATTTTAAAGGTTTCCCTATAAATCCCTATATAAACTTTGGTCGGCTATTTTTGCCCAACCCTAGCCCCGGGGGTCATGGTTTGAACAAACTTGAATCAACACTACCTGAGGATGATTCCACATGAGTTTCATTTTTCCTGGCCCAGCGGTTCTTGAGAAGAAGATTTTTAAAGATTTTTCCTATATATTCCTATGTAAAACTTGGGTCGGCCATTTTGGCCCCACCCTAGCCCAGGGGTCATGATTTGAACAAACTTGAATTTACACTACCTGAAGATGATTCCACATAAGTTTCATCTTTCCTGGCCCAGTGGTTCTTGAAAAGAAGATTTTTAAAGATTTTTCCTATATATTCCTATGTAAAACTTGAGTCGGCCATTTTGGCCCCACCCTAGCCCCGGGGGTCATGATTTGAACAAACTTGAATCTACACTACCTGAGGATGATTCCATGTGAGTTTCATCTTTCCTGGCTCAGTGGTTTTTGGGAAGAAGATTTTTTAAAAATGCCATTAATTTTTCTCTAATTCATAACTATCTCCCCTTGGAAAAGGGTGTGGCCCTTCATTTGAACAAACTTGAATCCCTTTTACCCAAGGATGCTTTGTGGCAAGTTTGGTTGAAATTGGCCCTGCGGTTCTTGAGAAGAAGTCTAAAATGTTAAAAGTTTACAGACAGACGGACAGAAGGACGCCAGACAAAATGTGATCAGAATAGCTCACTTGAGCCTTCAGCTCAGATGAGCTAAAAAGTATACAGACGGACAGACAACGGACAAATGTGATCAGAAAAGTTCACTTGAGCCTTATATAAAAGAAAGAAATAAATTTATGCTTACTTTTCGTAAAATACCTCTGACTGAAACCATTCTTTTTTGTGGTGATTGGAGAATTTCCTCGACTGTTTCTTGTGGTGGGTTGAGGTATGTGTCAATGACAGATTGGTTCATTTCGAATGGAGATGTTTCAAAAACCTTAAAACATGTCAATTTTGTTCAGATTTCAGCAATATTTAGTAGAGCAGGTGCTTTGTTAAGGTACTCAGATATTTCGATCTACTTGTCTAAATCTATTATGATACAACAAGAACTGTCCAAACTGGACAAAATACCCCCCGCTGGATTTTTTAGAAGTAATATTTTCCATAATAGATATGTATCAAACACAAATTATGAAATTTTTCTAACAGTGATCTTGAACTTCCCCAAATGACCTTGGGTCAAGGTCATGACACACAATTGGGTCATGGGCAATCTTTGTGTGAAATGAGAACCTACCATGTTTATCCATAAGAAAGATATGGATCAGACACGAATTATGAAATTTTTCTTCCAGTGACCTTGAACTTCCCCAAATGATCTTGGGTCAAGGTCATGACACAAAATAGGGTTTCATGGGCAATCTTTGTGTGAAATGAGAATTTACCAAGTTTATCCATAAGAAAGATATGTACCAGACACGAATTATGAAATTTTTCTTCCAGTGACCTTGAACTTGCCCAAATGACCTTGGGTCAAGGTCATGACACACCCTTGGGTCATGAGCAATCTTAGTGTGGAGTAGTAGATTGTAATGTCCCTCTAAGAAAAATATGGACCGGACACCATTGCACAGACAGACGGACAAGGTGATTCCTATATACCCCCCAAACTTTGTTTGTGGGGGTTATAATAAAATGTCTTGTAGTGACACAAATAAAGAAGATTAGGGTTGTTATCAAGTATTTAAAGGGGGTGACTATAGTTTTATTGTGTGAAAACTACAATAGTGAAACTCTTTCTTTTTATATAATATATAGCTTGCATTAACTTTAGTGTACATGCAAAATTTGGGCATTTCAAAGCATTAATTTGTTTTCAGACCATGTAACTCCCACCTACCAACCCTTGACCCAGGAGGGGGGGGGGGCATAAAAAATAATCATTTTGCTAGATGCACCTTTCTTCATCATTAATATATATATACTTGGATCATTAGCATAAACCCAAAAGCAAAGGAAAATATTTTCTAAGAATTAATGTTTTTTTTACTGAATAATCAAAAGAGCCTTAACACCTGAACCCCTGATTCTTGGGCAATAAAAGTCACAATTTTTGAAAAGGAACTTTTGCTTATCATAACAATGTGCTTAATTAGTTTATTTAATACTCAGAAGCAGAGAAGATTTTCAAAGAATAAATGCATTTTCACTATATAATCAATAGAGCCCGCCTTTACACTAGAACCCTTGACCCTAGGGCCATAAAATTCACAAATCTGGAAGAGGCACTCTTTTTCATCATTACAGTGTACTTATTTAGTTTATTTAATACTCAGAAGCAGAGAAAAAGATTTTCAGAGAATAAATGCATTTTGACTATATAATTTATAGAGCCTCACCCTAACACCAGAACCCCTGACCCTGGGGCCATAAAATTCACAAATCTTGAAGAAACACTCTTTCTCATTTTAACTATGTTCTTAGCTAATTTATTTAAAACCCAGAAGCAAAGAAAGGATTTTCAAAGAATAAATGCATTTTCACTATATAATTTATAGAGCCTCGCCCTAACACCAGAACCCCTGACACCGGGGCCATAAAAATTCACAAATCTGGAAGAGGCACTCTTTCTCATTATAACCATGTACTTAGCTAATTTATTTAAAACCCAGAAGCAGAGAAGAAGATTTTCAAAGAATAAATGCATTTTCACTATATAATCTATAGAGCGCCGTCCTAACACCCCCTGACCCTGGGACTATAAAATTTACAATTTTGGAAAAGGCACTCTTGCTCATCATAACCATGTGCTCAATTATTTTATTTAATACTCAGAAACAGAGAAGAAGATTTTCAAAGAATAAATGCATTTTCATTATATATAATCTATAGAGCCCCACCCCAACACTAGAACCCCTGAACCTGGTGCCATAAAATTCAAAAATCTGGAAGAGGCACTCTTTTTCATCATAACTATGTACTTAGTTTATTTAAAACCAAGAAGCAGACAAGAAGATTTTCAAAGAATAAATGCATTTTCATTATATATAATCTATAGAGCCCCGCCCTAACACTAGAACCCTTAACCCTGGGGCCATAAAATTAACAAATCTGGATGAGGCACTCTTGCTCATCATAACTATGTATTCAGTTAGTTTATTTCAAACCCAGAAGCAGAGAAGAAGATTTTTAAAGAAAAAATGCATTTTCACTATATAATCTATAGAGCCGCGCCCTAACACTGGAACTCCTGACCCTAGGGCTATAAATTTACAATTTTGGAAAAGGCACTCTTGCTCATCATAACTTTATGCTTAATTATTTTAGTTTATTTAATACTCAGAAACAGAGAGGAAGATTTTAAAAGAATAAATGCATTTTCACTATATAATCTATATAGCGCCGCCCTAACACTAGAATCCCTGACCCAGGGGCCATTAAATTCACAAATCTGGAAGAGGCACTCTTGCTCATTATAACTATGTACCTAGTTAGTTTATTTAAAACCCAGAAGCTGAGAAGATTTTCAAAGAATAAATGCATTTTCATTACATATAATCTATAGAGCC